AAAGGGATGCCCAGGGGTGGAAAGACAACTACAAGATCCGATTTGAAGATGGAAGGGAACGAAATACCACGGTGGCACAAGCTACGAAGGGGGAGAAAAAGGCGGGAAGATGAAAGTTTGTGGGTTGGTATCACATCTATGACCTGACAGGGGTCTGCTACGAGGTGTCCTAGGACCCGGGGCCTGTCGGGCGGGCCCAACAACCCGAGAGAGGCAGTAGAGTCAAGGACAAGGTTGAGTGTGACCCGTCAGGGTAGGAGATGACGGACACACAGCACTCGCTCCTTCACCACCGGCACTCTCACTCTTGTATGATCCCCTCGGTGCGAAACCCACGATACAGCCACACGCTCAGCTCAGGGCACGAGCTGCTGTCGGTGAGGTGAGGTGCAGATGCGCTCCGCGTCACAGTATGGGTCGAGGACCGCCGCTTTCGCACGCGGCAAGAAACACAACTTGGCAAAGGGTCATGAGGACGCAACACAACAGCAGTGTGTTGTGACGATGGCGAGTGTGATCAAAGAGTGAGAGAGAGGCAGAGCAGGTGTGCAAACGAGTTGCAAATGACAAAGAAAGCGGGACTTTCAGATCAGGATTGAGAGAAAGGGAAATGAGTCAGCGATAGTTTCCTGATGCTGGTCTTTGATGCAGCCCCTTCGGGAACTCTGTGCAGAGAAAAGGAGCACAGCACAGCAATGCGTATGATACATGCGCCACCGTGCCTTCGACATGTTGATATCTCATCATCTCCCTGCTGGGTAAGGAACTGCACCTGCTGCTGGTGCTGTCGTCACTTACCGTACGGGCGCTTGAACTACCGGCGTGGTCCTCGCTGCCCGCAGTTAAAGCAGCGGCCCTCTGCGCGCTCCCGACTGTTGCAACGGCTGGAACTAGTCTCAGCTATAAACTATAAAGTCTCAGCTATAAACTATAAAGTGGTACAATATTTACTAGGATCCTCCATTTGCAAGCTCCCATTTTCACTGGGACACTATAAACCTATCCGCCATAGACTATATCTTAGTGTCGCCCACCACCCAGGAAACTGAAAACATCTCTTTTCCTCAAACGCTTCTGCCCTCTGTGGTAAACAGAATTGACTGGCAGACTACATTTCTTCCCCCCCCCCCCCA